TTTGGTCTCGTAACTTTTCCTGAGAAGAAGATTAACGACGCGATCAATGCCATGACTTCATATGAGAGGAAGGTCAAAGATGCGATCAATTCTTCTTTCCCCAGGTACTCTAAAATGCGCCGAATGCTTCTAGGATATGATACCCCGCAATCATCTTCAGAAACAGAGCTCCCTGCAGCTCTCGAGGAGTACGTGAAGTTCCAGAAGGAATTCACTTTGGTGTGCATTCCCCTCGCTCAGTTTTTGCTCCACCTGTACATGGTATGGGCGATTCGGTCCGCAAATCGTATGTATCTCCAGGGTGAATCCGAAGACACGTGGGGGTTTGGTCAGGTTGTTGCCCTGGTCCAAATCCTCCCGATACTAAAGGGATGTACGAAAGACTGCATGGGTAAGTCTGCCGCGAGGAGCTTGCACATTTGCTGACACGGACAGACTACCGGATAGCAATAGCGAGATGGAACAAAGAACATGGCGAAAGTGGACGTACTCAAATACGGCAAGCTTCGCCTGATGGAAGAGTTGCTGTAGGAGGATGTGACTTTGAGAGCAGTGGATGACAACACCAGGGTCCAAATAGAAGTTATTCTAGTAGACCACTATTGTGTCTCGAGCGGAGACAAGGCCGAAATGATCTATAGAGGAGATTAAGGGGTGAATGGAAACTTCGATAGCGCACATCTAGTCTTAAATGCGAACCGTGAAAGTGATGCTATCTTCAACAGTTTACGCTGAGATACCTTTCCTGGCGACGCTGTTTATAGCAATGTGGAAATTTGGTGCTCTAGAGGAGTCATAGCTGTTGGGACCGCCCCTCATAGTCATCCAGGAAATCGTGACTGCAATCAACGCTTCCCAACAATTTACCTGACCTGGCGATGTGACCCACGGGTAACGGACGGGAAGAAGACGCCTCGAAACGAACTCAACCGTGGATTGCATACAGCTTTCGACAGAATGCGACAGTATTGCCTTTTGCGGGTATCTCAGGGGCTGGCGGGACGATCCAGGGTATTATTGCGGAAGCTTGTCTGGTGTGGATGTCTTAGCGTGAACAACAAGACTTGTCAACACCTCACGCCGTCTACTCATTCACCCACGATATGGCGACTGCAATCAATGGATACTGTAGAATCTGCTCATTATGGTAGTATCGTGAAGTACCGTTCCATGGGAGGCAGGTCGGCGACATGACTGCGAGATGCGTCATGCCGCTGTCGTACCGTGGAATTGTTGACATCGAGGCTGCAATGGCTCGTCTCTACACCCAGGTTTCGCAGCAGTAATCAATGTTTTCTTCAAAACTTGCTCTATACGGCGTGGTCGTGCATGCGCGACTGAAAACTCTTTAAGTTGAGTCAGGCGTTAACGGGCGAAGTATGTCTTTGTATCGTGATGCCGCGGGTGGTAGAGGGCGATGGATGGCATCGGTCCTTTTAGCGACCGCGAAAAGTCCGCCGCAATCCATAGTTTTTCATCTAAACTGCCTTGTCAGGAAGTCGCCACGACAAATGGTGTGTAGTACAGAGACGGTATAGGAGTAGGTGGAGCGGCCCAGGTGTCGAAGGATGCGGATTGCCACTGTGGCGCCGTCATGCGTGGCTCACAAGGCACCGGAACGCCAAACCGTCCTCTGTAATTTCCATGGATTTCTGCTATGATCGACGGATAATCTCAGAACCTGCTCAATTGGGAGACATGAAGTGGAATCTTTCTGGTATACGGTACATCAGCTTAGTGAGTCGGTGGCCTTACGACACCAACGCTTGTGAGGTCAGACGTGAGAAGGGCTTGTGGCGTGGAGAATTGACCACTGATGCATTGCCGTGCGGTGAACACGTTGCCGTACAAAAACAAACCATGCATCAAGTCGAAATGTCCGTTGACACGGGCTGCCTTGACCTCTGCGTGGTGTGATTTTGAGTTTGGCGTATTCAGGTACGATGCCTTCCAGCTCTTCCGGGTGGACTGAGGACGCTGACGATAGCGTGTAGGTAACGGGGCTAGGGGGATCCGCCGCACCACGCCCTGTGGGACTGTGACGGCGAAGGGATCCAGTGTGGGCCTCGGATGTGATCGTGATAACAGTGCGATCGTGTCTGTGGCCGCGATTAAGAGTATTTTGCTGTGGGCCTATTTTGGAAATGCTTGCGGGTGCGGGATCGGCCATGTCGAGTTCGCAAGACCAGACGAAAAGCGATAACGAGCGTACTGCGTATTCGGACCGGAGTGAGGCAGGCCCGAGAATAGACAGGCAGCAGGCTTTCCAAGGTTCGCTCGTGGCAAGTGTGGCGTTTCGAGAGCATGACCAGAACTGAGCCACAGAAACGTGGTCAAGAGAAGCACAGTGCGAGCAGCGCCTGAGGGCCTCTGCGCGTCCTGAGACGACGCCTCTCCTCTCCCACACCTCCCTAATGAGCACCATGACCCAATGAGTCTCTTCTCGTCCTTTATTATCGAGCCCGTTGTGCGCCATGCACGCCGCTTCTCAGGCGTTGGCGAGGCGAGCCATGACGGAGCTCGGTCTCTGGCATGTGACAATCACGACTCTGCGTCTGCGGCAGTGCCACGGCGGGAGCACGAAACGGACGCGGGCTCCGTGAGCGCACGTGAAAGAAACAGCACCGAAGCACCTCACGGCCGGCCCACAGCGCTGGGCGACGGGTTCCGACGTTACTCGTCGTTCTCGCAGCGGCCTCGCAGCGCGGTTGTTGACGAGGAGCAGAGCCATGACGATCTGCCAATAGACACCCCAGTCGACATGTCCGCGAATCCATCCCGCTCCCTCTCTGATCAGTTCCGTCACCTCGAGGTCGACTCGTCCCGCTCGACTGCGCCGTCGCCCTCGTCGCTCCGTCCCGCCAGCACCGCCAGCCAGCATGCCAGCGCCATGGCTGAGCTGCTCCCCGCTGACGATGGCATGGCCCATCTGCGCGAGCGCATCCACGAGATCCGCGCCCTGAGCATATCCGACCAGGAGCGCGCCCGCATGATCCACAACCTCATGACGGAGAAGTACAACCACATGCGCCCGACGTCCCCCGCAAGCTTCATCTCACACGACCGCCCCTTTACCCCGACCTCCGGCCAGTCCCTCTTCTCCGACGTCCATGCGTCATCGCCCTACTCGTCCACCACCGACGTGACCCCCGACATCTCGTACAGTCTTCGCGAGGGCGACTCGAACCCCACGTATCGGCCCCATCACGACCACGGCGCAGAGCACGGCGAAGACGACGAGGAGGACAGCGCCGAGGGGGAGCTTGTGCTCGGCTGCCAGCACTACAAGCGCAACGTCAAAGTGCAATGCTTCGAATGCCGCCGCTGGTACACGTGCCGACACTGCCACGATGCAGTCGAGGACCATAACCTGAACAGGAAGCTGACACAGAACATGCTGTGTATGGCATGTGGTACGCCCCAACCAGCAGCCGAGGTGTGCAAGAACTGTGAGACGGAAGCCGCATGCTACTATTGTGACATTTGCAAGCTCTGGGATAACAACAGCAAGAAGAAGATCTACCACTGCCCAGACTGTGGTATCTGCCGGCGAGGAGAAGGTCTGGGCAAAGATTTCTATCACTGCAAGGTACGTCCTGCTTTAGACGCACTTTGGACTAGACTGATTGTGTGCAGAGTTGCAATGTTTGCATATCCATCTCTCACGCGACCTCGCACAAGTGCCTCCCGCGTGCTACCGAGGGCGACTGTCCAATCTGCGGCGACCATCTCTTCACTTCGTCTACTGCTGTCGTGTCCATGCCTTGCGGCCACTATCTCCACAAAGGATGCTACAACCTCTACATGCAGACTGCGTACAAATGCCCAATTTGCAAAAAGAGTGCTGTGTGTATGGATCTGCAGTGGCAGAAGTTGACTCAAGCAATCGAGGGTCAGCCCATGCCAGAGCAGTTCGCAAATACACGGGCAGTTGTCCAGTGCAACGACTGTTCAGCAAAATCTTCTGTCAAATATCACTGGCTTGGCAACCAATGCGGTACATGCGACTCTTACAACACCAACGAGCTCCGCATTCTGAACGGGCCAGAGAGTGAAGAAGCTGCCAATGCGATACTAGACGCCGACCTTGATTCAGGCTCGAGATCGCCTGTGAGCGTCAGCTCGCCCTCCTCCCAAGCACCACTTCGTTCGCCTCGGTACTATTTCCAACCAGATGAGCCTGAAGAGACATGGCTACCAGGTCAGCTGCCCTCTTTCCCTTTCCAGATGCCGCAGTTTCCTGGCAGACCGCGCATGCCGCAGATGCCTCAGATGCCACAATTTCCATCTCTACCGCAGTTCCCACCGCTGCCAAACTTCCCACAGATACCGCAATTCCCACAAATGCCTCAGATGCCTCAAATGCCTGATGCTGCACAGCAAATGCTTGAACGCGTGCGCCAATCATTCGATGCTTATCTCAACCCGACGGGAGATATTCGAGCTGAAGATGTGCCCTTTATCGATCTCAGCAACGACGACCGCGCCGAACGTCCCGCGACAGATGGTACCACGGTTAAGGAACCGTCACTCCCGCAGTACGTTCTGGAGCGGTTCACGCAGTCGCTCGTACGCTTTAGGAACGATTTGAACCCAGCTTTGTTCGAAGACATCCCGACATTGGATCTTTCGCAAGATCGTGATCCCGAAGGATTGCAGTTCTGGGGTGAAGATGGTGGGCGGCTGAATCGCTTCGTTGCCGGCGATGAAGACGATGAGGACGACGAGGACGACGAGAGTAGCAGCGATGAAAGCGAACACCATGAAGATGAAGACGACGATGACGATGATCTTGACGTTACCAAAAAGCGTGGTAAGGAATTCGACCTGCCTGGTCATGTGTAAGGAGTTTGCGGAGCGGGCGTTTTGGGAAGGCAAAAGGATGTTCTACGAATATTGCTTTGGGGCGGGCCTGGATAACAACCTAAAAATTCACGAAAAGCCATTTTATAAAGCAACAGATACCCAAATAGAAACGTTTTGTTATTGAGCCATGCATCATGGTGTTCCACTTGCTTGCACAAGCCTCGATTCACGTGCGTCATGGTCCGTGCTCAACGCGCTAAGTAAGCGGGCACACTGGTGGCATCCGATTTTCGAATATCGTGACTTTTCGACCTCCAAGCCTCAAACTCGCATCCTCATCGTCGACTAACCCCCGCAGCGAGAACCTCTGTCAGTATGTATTGCGCTCCCAGTCTGTGTTCAAATCAGTCGATTTGCGCAATAGTCGCGAATCGCAATCCCAGCTGATTGCTGTAACGAGCATTTGCTAACACACTCCCTCCAGAAATGGCCCCAACCACCAAGTCCGCCGGCAAGAAGTCTGCCGGAAAGACCGGCCGCAGCGCCATCGCCGATGTCGTCGCCCGCGAATACACCATCCACCTCCACAAGCGCGTATGTTGATTCAGTTTTGTGAAGTCCACAGATGGTCTCGCGGAACCTTGGGTGGGTGCTCGACCAGGCCGATCACACTGGCTTGAGCATCTGCCTTTGGTCACGCAGGCATTGGGCGGAAGACTGAAGAGAACATAAGGCTAATACATTGGGTATAGGTTCACGGCGTCAGCTTCAAGAAGAGGGCCCCCAAGGCTGTCAAGGAGATCCGCGCTTTCGCTAAGCAGGCTATGGTATGTGCTATGGAAGAACCACCGGCCCATGGCACGCGCGCTACGTGCGCGTGCTGTCATGGTGCCGCCATTCGTACAAACTCAGGCTAATTGTCTCGATGTAGGGCACCAACGACGTCCGCCTAGACCCCCAGCTCAACAAGAAGGTCTGGGAGTCCGGTATCAAGGGCGTTCCCTTCCGTCTCCGTGTCCGCATCTCCCGTAAGCGTAACGACGAGGAGGGTGCCAAGGAGAAGCTCTACTCTTACGTTCAGGCCGTCAACGTCAAGGACCCCAAGGGTCTCCACACCCAGATTGTTGAGGATGCTTAGAGGAATCCCGCGAACAAGGGGGAAGGATGATGTGCATATCAAAAGCATGGCGTTCCGGCGGGTTGTGCTGAGTAGCTACTATGGATATCTAGAGCGAAAGGCTGGTGAAATGATACCTCAATGACAGATCATGCCCCGCCACGTTTGATGGACTTGGAGACTTGAACCACTCTAATTACTTGCTGCCACAATGAGTGATGTATTGAAGAAGAAATCCTTGCGACGGACTAAGATGCCATCACGACTGACAGCAAAGCAGACATTGACTAGGTACTGCCAGCGTCGCTCACTACCGTGCACATAAATTCCGCTGAATACTAAAACTGTGGTCTACCAGATCATGTTCGGCTTCTCGCGCTTTTCCAAAGAGTACCTTGCATAAGCGGCTCTACGTAGCTCGGCCCTGGGGGGAGCCGAACATTAGGTGCTTACCAAAGCCTTGGATACTGCTCGGCATGTTATTTGCTCCAATAATTCCGTAGCAGAGAATATAGATAAAGCATACAGAGCGACTTCCAACATGCAATTTGTATATTCTCGACCTTCATCAATCATCCCCGGTTGACGTCAGACACTCGTCTTACCCCCGCCTGTAACACGCGAACCACCAACTTTCACAACCCAACTATCGCACCACCTAACCATATCCCATCCTGAAGACCGACCGCGAACATGGTAAACTTCAACATAGCTTACACCTCCCGTATCAATCCCGCCGGCGCAACACCGGTCCTCAACCAAACACAGATCTGGGCCGGCCTACAGCGCAAGATCCGTTTCGCCCAAGAATTCGTCCCTGTAATTGAGAGCTGCGACGTACTCGAAGAAAAAGATGGTGTGGTAACCCGAGATGTCAAGTTCAAGAAGGGAATGGGGCCCAAGGATCAGGCCAAGGAAGTCGTAAGGAGCTACTGGCCGAGTTGGGCAAGTACAAATCGTTCGCAAAGTCGACGTTTTTGGCTGATGGTGTGTGAAGGTCGATTTTGAACAGGAGGATGGAACGCATATTCGCAACATCGTCTCCGATGGCCCGTCGGGCGAGATCGAGGACTTGAACATGACGTACATGTTTGAGTTTGTTGTGCCGCATGTGCAGGAGGGGACTCCGGAGGCGGAGAAGGAGATTCAGAAGTTTAAGGGTGTAAGTACTTACTCTTTTTGTCAAGATCGCGCGCATGACATGTGCTGGGGTTCGATTGGTTGCTGACGAAGTGACAGATGGCAAAGAAAGCGGTCGAGAGTAGTATTGATGCTATTCGGGAGATGGTCAAGGACGGGAGGATCAAGGAGTGAAGTCGTTTGTAGGCTCATGGAGAGGCTGTATCTGCACCTGGGTAATCAAACGATTCCACATACTGAAGAATCATTTTTTACTACGACTAGCCAGCAAGCGATAGTGTTGTGCAAAAGCGATGTCCGCTGCATCGCGCGATCCCCACATATACGACGAAACAACAAATCTCTCTGTCCATTTGTCCTGCTTTAGAGCCTTCATAGCCATCTCTCTGTTGCTCTCAGTGCGAAATAACTGAGCCAGTTGCACAATACCTGGTAACATGCGCTTTTCGACAAACTCATCTAACAGGCCCTCCTGTTCACATAGCGCCATCATCAGCAGGTTGTATATGAACCTGGAAGACAACGAGATACTGTGTGTTTCCGCTACCTTTCTCAACCCAGCATCAGCGATGATCGGTCTAGTCCTAGAGCCGTGGAGTGAGTCATCTATATCGTGACCAGTATTGAGGTAATCGAGACCTCTCATGAGGATGCGTCGCATTTCGCTGAGAACGTGGAAGTCTGAAGTTCTGTCACACGCTCGGCAGACACACTCAAAGCGTAGTATACGGTGACGGTCGTCCCTAGTTCTGTAATCAAAGTCTGTTTCGTAACACAAGAGTATCTCGGCGCCGGCTTTGATGTCACAGGTGGCGTAGCTGGTAATGGAGTCGTCAGGTTGAGCGTCATCTGGAATTTTGCAGTTGGGAAGGCAAGAATGGTTGAATCGTGAATGCAGAAGGAAGAACCCATGCGCCATGCCAGGTTGTGCGGGGATAGTGAACGAGTTTTCTGCGAAAGCTCTCTCCATGGTTGGAAAGATGCCGTCGCCATTGTCTCGAACACTGAGGAACTGGGCTTTCTCTTTCTTCGATAGTGCGCAGTAGGCGGCAAACACATCTCTTTCCTCAATCATCCGATGGGGCTTCCGGATGACGAAGAGAGGCTTTTCTTGTAGAATCGTTTCTCCTTTGAGGATCTTTCGCGTGGCAAATACACCCCATCCTTTCCCAGGTGAGACACCGAGTCTGAAAGGAGCATCGTTGGGGACTTGGATGCTGTGGTAAGCTGCCCAGGTCATGCTGAGGTTAGGTCATGCTCAGCGACGCGAATTTGGTTAGACTTACGGTGGTTAGCATTATTTTGGTGTGAATCCATGGCTCTCGATCATTTCTTAGCTCTGCATTGCCGGAAAATGTGGATTACAGTTTGAAGAAGTAGCCGAACAAAACCTGTCAATGATATGCTGTGCCACAAGCGAACCTGCTGCGAAACGACAGGCAGCTTTGTAGCGAACAGGCGGCAAGGCACGCATCATGCAAGGAGCCCCTTGATGGATCACTCCATTGTCTCTGGCTTAATACTGCATTCTGATGTATTTCTCCCAGGTCTCTTAGCATCTTGCGTCGACGTAAGATTGCATCTGGCGCAAATGCAAGCCATCAGATGTCTCGCATCTATCCGACGGGCTGCCTGGTAAGGCGTCCAGCTGTGACCAAGCTGTCTAGTAGTCTGATTGAGACGAGCATCGACCACTTGATCGCTCGATCTGATCATGGTAAACGTGTGTTTTGATAATACTGAGATCACCAATTTGTGACACTGCTTTGTTCGGGTGATTAGGCTGCCAGCCATAATCGCAGTGGGTAGTCTTGGTCGCCATGGTGCGATTCCCAGTGAGCCGGATGTACAAGTCAAACACAGCGACCGTGTCAAGATAGCTGCATCACGTCATCTGCATGCATCGACAATCCGGCGGAAGTGGTGATGGAGGAGGAAGGATGCAGGGTATCAGTCGATCGCATGTGGAGCCCTGAGCACTAGTGCTTGCCTCTCGGCACGGGTAGTTCCAGTTGACAAACGCGACTTCACCGCGAAACCCGTGCCTCTGCAACAACGTCAGCGCCTCACACCCCCACCACTGCGAGCAGCCAGGAAGACGGACCCGATCCAGGTCTAGCAACGCCCGACTACCAGTAGCCTCAGCAGCAGCTCGGCAAGCGTGCCCGCACAATCTCTCCGCCGCCCAAGTGCCCCACCTTTGTCTGTACACAACTTCTGCAAGGCAGCGAACCTTTGCGCGCCCGCCCTCCGCCCACGCCCCACGCGCCCATACGCAACCGCTGCAAGAAGCTGAGCCCACGCTTGAGCTTCTTGGGGACATAGACGATATCACAAGGCTGATTGGGAGCTTTTCCCGCCGCGCTGCAGCCCGCCATGTCTCTGTCAATTGAAGAGCTCGACGCCACAGTGCGCGCCTTCTATGAGGGCCGCGGTGAGCAAGTACGTATCTATGCGACCCCGACCAAGGCGTCCCATGAGAACACGGCTAACATGTCGCCCACTATAGCAAAAGCAAGCTCAGGCTACGCTGAACCAGGTAGGCGTCTGCAATCACCATCGCTGTAGGCTTGTCCCGCTAACCCTCGCATAGTTCAAAGAGAACCCAGACGCATGGCTTCTTGTTGACAAGATCCTATCCGATGCGCAGTACCCGCAGACGAAGTGTGAGTGCAGCGACGTGCTACAAGGCTGGTGGTCCTCGTTGCTAACAGTCGGCAGATCTCGGACTCCAGGTTCTCGACAATGTCATCATGACTAGATGGAAGGTGCTGCCTCGAGACCAGTGTCAGGGTATGCCACAGAACACTCCGTCTTCCGAGCGCTGCTAACCCAGTCAGGTATCCGAAACTTCATCGTCAACTTGATCATCTCGCTGTCCAACAACGACGAAAGCCTCCGCAACGAGCGCACCCTCCTAAACAAGCTCAACCTCGTCCTCGTCTCCGTTCTGAAGCAGGAGTGGCCCCACAACTGGCCGACCTTCATCAACGAGATCATATCGTCCTGCCACAGCAGCTTAGGAATATGCGAGAACAACATGGTCATCCTGCGACTTTTGTCTGAGGAAGTCTTTGATTACTCCGAGGAGCAGATGACTTCGGTCAAGCGAAAGGAACTGAAGCAGAGCATGTGCGACGAGTTCACGGCCATCTACCAGCTCTGCTCAGAGGTTCTGCGGACAGCCACCGAGGCGTCTCTGATTAAGGCGACACTCGAAACCTTATTGCGCTTCCTCAACTGGATCCCTCTCGGCTACATCTTCGAGACACCTCCAAGCGGCCAAAGCCTGATCGAGACCCTGCGAAGCCGATTCCTCGAAGTCCCCGATTTCCGCAACATCACCCTGAAGTGCTTGACTGAAATCGCCGGTCTACACACAGAACCTGCATACGACGATAAGCTTGTTTCTATGTTCACCGAGACATTGACGGCCATCTCGAAGATCATACCTCTTTCCCTGGACCTGAAGAGCACATACTCTTCAAGCAATGGTCGGGACCAGGAGTTCGTTCTGAATCTCGCGCTTTTCCTGACAAATTTCTTCACCATGCACCTGAACGTCATCGAAAACCTAATGAACAGGGACTTCCTCACGCATGGCCATTTCTACCTTATTCGCATAAGCCAGATCGACGATCGCGAGGTTTTCAAGATCTGCCTGGAATACTGGACCAAGCTCGTCTCGGAGCTCTACGATGAGATGCAGGCGCTTCCCATAACGGACATGAATCCTCTCCTGAACATGGGCATCCCCGGCAACGGCGGTCGCGAGTTGGCCAACTACCCTCTACGGAAGAACAAGTACACCGAGATTTTGTCCAACCTCCGAACAGTCATGATTGAGAAGATGGTGAGGCCCGAGGAAGTCCTCATCGTCGAGAACGATGAAGGTGAGATCGTCCGTGAATTCGTGAAGGAGAGCGACACGATCCAGCTGTACAAGTCCACTCGCGAGTGCCTCGTCTTCCTTACCCACTTGGACGTTAACGACACCGAGCAAATCATGTCGGAGAAGCTGGCCCGCCAAGTCGACGGCTCAGAGTGGTCATGGGCTAACTGCAATACCCTCTGCTGGGCCATCGGTTCCATCTCTGGTGCCATGAACGAGGAGACAGAGAAGCGCTTCTTGGTCACCGTCATTAAGGATCTACTCGGTTTGACTGAGATGAAGCGAGGAAAGGACAACAAAGCCGTTGTCGCCAGTAACATCATGTATATTGTCGGTCAATATCCTCGATTCCTCAAGGCCCACTGGAAGTTCCTCAAGACAGTCGTCAACAAGTTATTCGAGTTCATGCACGAGACCCACGAGGGTGTACAGGACATGGCTTGCGATACGTTCATCAAGATCGCGAACAAGTGCCGACGACACTTTGTTGCTCTTCAGCCCGGAGAGACCGAGCCCTTCATCGACGAGATCGTTCGCAACCTGAGAAAGATCACCGCCGACCTCTCACCCCAGCAAGTCCACACTTTCTACGAAGCCTGCGGTTACATGATTAGCGCACAAGGACAGAAGAGCATGCAGGAGCGCCTGATCGCCGATCTGATGTCCCTGCCAAACTCCGCATGGGACAACATTATCGCCCAAGCTAACCAAAACCCCGCTTGCCTCCAAGATTCAGAAGTCATCAAGATTGTTGGTAACATTATGAAGACTAATGTCGCAGCATGTGGTTCAATTGGACCCTACTTCTACCCCCAGATCGGCCGGATATACTTCGACATGTTGACAATGTACCGCGCGAGCTCACAGCTTATCGACGAAGCTGTCCAGCGAGAGGGTAACGTTGCAACAAAGATGCCCAAGGTCCGCGGCCTTCGTACGATCAAGAAGGAGATTCTGAAACTTATCAACACATACGTTGAGAAGGCCGACGACTTGGAGATGATCCACAATAACATTGTGCCGAAGCTGCTAGAAGCTGTCTTGATTGACTACAAAAACAATGTTCCCGATGCTCGCGAGGCCGAAGTGCTGAATGTCATGACGACGATTATCAACAAGCTACATGTACGTTGGCGCCCCAATCTGAGCAAGCACATGGTCGGACTCGCTCAGCCACTATCAAAACATATGCTAACCTTATCGCAGAGTATGATGGAGGATCAGATCATCAACATCATGGACAGCGTCTTCGAATGCACCTTGGACATGATCAACAAGGACTTTTCGGAATACCCCGAACACCGTGTCGAGTTCTTCAAGCTTCTACGCACCATCAACCTCCGCTGCTTCCCGGCTCTGCTTCGACTCGATGCCCGATCATTCAAGTTTGTTATTGACTCCTGCATGTGGGCAAGCAAGCACGACAACCGTGAGGTTGAGAGCGCCGGTCTGTCCATGTGCTTCGAGCTGGTTTCCAACATGTCCGAAACAGACCAGCAAACCTGCAACTCCTTCTTCCAAACATTCTTCACGACCATTCTTCAGGATGTATTCTTCGTGGTCACTGATAGCGATCACAAAGCCGGTTTCAAGTCCCAGTCGATGCTGCTGGCTAAAATGTTCTGGCTTGTCGACTCAGAGAAGCTGCAGGGTCCCATATACACGTCGCCAGATATGGCTCAGGCAGGCACCCCGAACCGAGAGTTCCTGCGGAACTTTGTCGGCAACCTGCTGGCGACTGCCTTCCCCAACCTCCAGACGTAAGTTCTATCCATTAGCTTGTATGACCCATGCTAATCAAATTCAGTGCCCAAATTGCATCCTTCATCGATGGACTGTTTGCGACCAACTCCGACCTGAACCGTTTCAAGGTCATTCTGCGCGACTTCCTGATCTCCCTGAAGGAGTTCTCTGGCGACAATGCTGAGTTGTTTGCCGAGGAGCGTGAACAGGCTGCCAAGACCGCGAAGGAGCAAGAGCGTGAACGAGCTATGAAGGTCGGTGGTCTGCTGAAGCCTTCGGAGATGGATGATGATGAGTTGTGACTTGACGTCGAGTTGAACGCAAATGTGGCTACGCGCACGCCCTATGATAGCGCACGCGCTCCCCACGAGTCTGCAGAAAACAAACGCTCCGACGATCTTCTCGATGGATGGGACATGTATGGCTTGTGAGTATCAGTGGTTATGGTGACTGAAGAGACGGTCGCGACGCTGCGTTGGATGGGAAGCGTAGAGTCAGTCGTATCGGCAAACTTGCGAGGGTGGGAAAATGGGTTCGTTTTGGTCTAATACCCTATAGACCTGTTACTTGTTCATTTGATACATGATTACCTAGCTGGCATGGAC